AACTGCTAGAGCCAACAATAAGATGCTCTGTGTGGTGGACACGGTGGGCCAAAGTGAATGGGCTGGATTATGGTGCTGTGGAGGAAGAAGTAGACTGTGCAGAGGACAAAGGTGGGCTAAAGGAAATTCTCCGTTTTTTCCCCCCTTTTTTTTCGTCGCTTTCACATTAGATTTTGTTTTCCTACAGCATTTTTTTTTCCTTAAAGATTGTTCTGTATAGCGATTTGGAAATAGTGATTGACAGTTTGTTTAAATTATTAAAAATAGATATTTAGTAAATTTATATATTTTAAAATTATTATAAATAATATGTTTGATAAAAAATTTTATTTAACAGTTTAAAATTAATAGATAATGATTAAAATTTAAATCGTTAGTGAATGGAAAAAATTAGTTTAAATAACTTTTTATACTAAACTAATAATGGATTAAAATTTTTTAATTTTGTCGACAAATTTATTTATTTTAATTTTTAAAATTTTTTTCATGGTTCTTAATTAATACTTATCTAATTAGTTTCAATTTTGTTTTTTACTTTAATAATATTAAGTGATTATTATAGTTTTATTTCATACATTAATTTCATAAAAAAATATATATTATCTTAATAAACAAAATTTGTTAATTAGACAAAATGATTAATTTTTTATTTAAAAATAATATAATTTTTTCTTTATTAAAAATAAAAACAAGTGTATAATTATACTATCATAATTCTTTTTTTTTTTTTATTTTTTTTATAAAATTAATAATTTTAATAGTAAAAAATATAAATATTTATTTATTTATTTTTAATATATTCTTATTAACCAATTAACATTAAACAACAATAAATAATGATTATATGACTAAATAATTATTATAATCAAATTTACTATTTTTTATTTATAACTTATTTTTTACTACCCACTACTTATTTTCTGTTGAATTTTAATTATTATACTAAATAAATCCTAAGTCAAAAGAAATTTCCTGGAGATTGCTAATTAAATTAATATTTCTGTTTTCCAATCGAATAGAAAACTCCTTTCGGCAGAAAAGAAAATTTCAAATTGAAAACTTTTACTCCATAATCAATTAATTACTTTTTGCCTATTTCTTGGTTGTGCAGACAGGAGGCCCGTTCCATAACGTGCCACTCGGAAGGTGGGACGGTCTAACCTTTGGCACACTGCACACAAAACGCAACCATAGACTACTTTAATGAAATCAAACCGAGTTATACAGTTGATTGTATCCAACGTTACTTAAAAATAATATATTAATTTATTAAAAATTTTATAAATGGAAACCAAGCTTATTTAATTATAATGTACATGTATTGTTCTTGATTTAGTTTAATTTTAGCTTATTCATATAGTTAATCTAATTTTTTAAATTTATTTTGTATCATTATTATTATTTATTTATGAAAAAAATCATAAAAATAATAAAATCTAAGTTAAAAAAAAAAAAAAACAAAAGACCTAAATGTAAAATAATTTTCACCCATTAAGGAGGGTTTCAAACCCGTGTAAGTTGAACATGCAGTTAAAAATTGTATTTTTCAACCGAAAGCCCGGAAAAGGCCAGCCGCAATTTTTAGTGTGCACTGACTGTGTAATTACAATGTAAAAATTATCAAATGGAAGACACATTCGCCATTACTTAGCAAAAGAAAGTGAAGAATTAGAGGAGGAAGATCATATTGACAAGGAAACATGATTAACTTCATCAACAAGGGTAGAAAGGAAGAATTAACAAATATATACACTCTTCTAAGCTATGATGACTCAAATTATAGTTTAGTTGAAGTGCACCTGAGATGAATAGAGCAGACCAGGACCAGCAGAAGTAACGAGA